GGGCTCAAGAGCTGTTCGTGGAATTTCTGAGGTCTACTAAAAGTAAATCAGTTTTCAATCATGTTTCTTGGGTTTATGATCTGCATTCTTGTTCCATATTTCTGATCTAGGTGTAGTGTAAAGCAACTCTGCCAGAAACTGTGAATCACCATATCATCTTCAACCTAGCTCACCCAGCCCGCGTTTGTTGATTTGCCCGTCAATGAGTTATTTATGTGTTGGTTTTTCCTCAATTTTGATGATTTATGTGTTTGTCCTCCTCGTTATTTATGCAAGCACCTATATTTGATCTGTAGGATACCGAGATGAGAAGGCATGCTAATTTGCATGGCTGCAGAAGAAAGGAGTAACTGTCTAACTGATCATTAAAGTTCAAGATATCATGAGTTCATGACCCAAATAATGGTTGGTGAAACTGCTCGCAACTGAAGGAGGTAAGTAGTCTGTCTAATCAATAATTGTCCCTGTAGTCAATATCTTTTTACCCATTGCTTGAAAGAATGAGGATATGCAGGTATTTTTGGCTGATGAAACACAGTGGCATTCACCAGCTGTTATAAAATGCCCCAACAATTCATATGTAAGAATTGCTCTGGTCATAGATGGTGTGAACATTTGTTAGCTCTAATTTTGCAGGCACAAGTAAGAAATATCTCTGAACTTGTATGTTGTATTTGGTTCTTTTGTAGTTCCTGCTGGTTGGCAATATTCTTCCAGACTGAGTACCTCTGGTCTATCAACATAGCAGATTATGGATCTGTAGCAACTTAGTTACAAGCATATTTACATAGAAGAACTGTATCAAAGGGTTCTGTAGGAATTTCTCCATACTGCATTGTTGTATCATAACTTCGTAAGCAGAGCATGCCCATCTAATAATCTTCATCATGATCTCTCTCCGCCAAAAATAGGGAAGGAGCTAGGAGGCATGAAGAAGTTCCAAGCAGCCTGTCTCTGATCTCTCTTGGACGTTCAACCAGGGTAGCACAAACAAGAGAAGACTATAGACAAGGTCTTTCATTCTTGATCTATGTCTCTCTTATAGAATGAATTCAGTTTAGGCCACTACGGGACCTTTTAGTATAGATTCACTTGTTATTCAAAGATTTGTGCACATGAATTTCCATAATGTTTTGCATTGAATATTTTAGCATGTTTGAAGTATGTGAAAGTAAATAGATATTGTTCTTAAAATGTTCGCACCGGCTAGCTAGGTGGATCATCAGGCCACCCAGTAGCAAGTGAACACATTTTTCTTTAGAAGCATTTTTTCCCAATTGAAGTTTGCTATCTACATTAAAAATAACTTGAAAAATATAAGAGAATAGTCACATCAGATGACCATTGTTTTAGTTTGAATACATGAATTGAATCAGAACTTTAAAACTTTCACTAGAAATTGGAATTCAGTTATTTCACGCCTCCATGTATTTATAGAAATGTGTATCAACCTATTGGGTAAATGGACGGGCGCAGCAACGCACGCCATCATATGGTCTAGTTAACTATGATTTCGGGGATGGGTTTGGGTGTTTGTGGGGGCGAGAGGGTGCAGGGCGGATCTAGATGGCACAGGCACACTAAGACTGAAATTCGTGGGATTCAATGGGGGCTGACAATTAGCGCATCACTGGGTGACAAAAAAACTTACCAATGGCAAAGATTGGGGGCGCTATTGAGACAGCAGCGGCGTGATGGCAGAACGGAACGGCGATGGGCGGCGACGCGGCAGATGAGTTTGGGGGCTGGGGTTGAGGCGTCCGTGGTGGCGCTACGCTAGCCTACGGCATGGAGGCAGCTCTAGGTCACGGAGGGTAGTATTTCAAAGCCTTGTTGGGTCCGATCTCCACTGGAGGTCGGTCAGGACAAGGGACTGCGAGACGAGTCGGAGAAGGGAGGACGAAAGGGTGGACTGCTCCCGTCTTCTTTTCTTTTTTTACTAGAACTAGCAAAAAAGCCCGTGCGTTACAACGAGATATAAATTTTGTAGTACATTAGCTTGTGGTTTACTTGTCAATAATAATGCGATTGTGTCAATAAATGTTCATCTAATTCTGCCCGTGAATTACCTTGTATTTTGATTAGAAGTTTGGTAAGTAAATTAAAATAGATTTGGTTCAGATGGTAAGTAAATTAAGGTGATTGATTATCATATGCATGGAAGGTTGGACGAAGGGGGGGTGGGAAGAAAGGTGAAATGGAAACCTTACGTTCTTTTTAAGTAGTCTCTACTACCTAAAACAATCGTAACGTTCCGTTTCCCCTATTACGTCGATCTCTTCATCCGACCCACCTCGTCCGCCCCCCTCCTGCGTGTCCCTGCTACTGGAAAAAAAAACTGCAGTAATAATTAGAAACCCTAGGCACGCAGCCCCACCACGCCCTCGATCCTTTTATATCACGCGCAAGCGCCTCTCGCCCTCCTTGGCCGCCACATCGCCTCCTCCGGCCGCTCGTCTGCCGTCGCCGCCTTCGATCCCTCCTTGCACCCAGCCAGCGAGCCGCCGACTGCACCGCTCGTCCACATCGGCAGCAAACTCCTTGATCCCGCTGCAGCACTCGCCCCCGTCCCCGTCGGCGTCATGGTCGTCGTCCACATGGACCCCACCTACGTCGCCAGAACTGGTGGGTCCTTCCCGTCACTCGACATCCTTGCGACCAAGGGGATCTGGCGTCTCCTCGCCGGATGCCGCGTGAGTGGCGTGACCTCGTGGGTAGGAAGTTGTACTTCCTCAGCTGCCGGCACAACCACTGCGGGTGTCAACTGCAGGACCACGCGGTTCCTCGTTCCCTGTTTCAGTCCGCCGTAGGGCCTGGTGCGCTTCGGTGATTGCGGCAAGCGAGCGCCGAGAAATGAGAAAGGTCGCTTGGTACGTTAGGCATTGTTTGACTCGGAAGGCGTCAGGCATGGGGCATACTAGCGACACATGCAGCAGCGCGAGGATGCGATGGAGGAGACTGACGATGCGACAAGCCTTCAGTGGACAGCACATTCGTCGGTGCCAACCTCTGTACATAAATTGCGGCTATACCGGCCAGTTTCCAATCTGTAAGTATTGTTGTGTCTTGCAAAGTTTTCAAGGTATCCGCCAGCCCTTCAAGAGCTTGATGCATGGTCCAGATTTGTACACATGTGAACCTTGCTTTGTCAGTGCTTGTGCTAGAATGCAGTGTCTTTTGTGTCTGCAACTGCATACTATTGGTTTAGATAATTTGATGGAAATCCCAAGTTTGTTGTTGATGTTCTGACCGTTCTGTTCAACGAACAATGACGTTGAATTAAACTAGGAAGACGCTACATGATGGTCCTAGATTTATTGGATGGTCCTATATAAAATATAGCAAACGACTGAAGACACTAGAGCGTTTGAAAACCTACCAGCCAACTATAGTTCTGTAGACAGTTGCAATTTTAGATGATAGAGTTGAAAGAATAAGTCTCCAACAGATAGATGATTGTTTAGAAAGTATGTACCACTACTCAATTTAATGATTTATTAGGTTGCAATAGTATCCCACCCAAAATAAAGTCTCTCCAAGAGACTGGCTAGAACAACCCTTGGCCGAGAAACAACACCAATCAACACTTGGGATTTTAATGATTGTCCTATATAAAATATCCTCGATTTATTTGATGGAATGGTTCACTTGCAAACATACTTGACTGGAGATGCGTAAATAGTTAGTGGAGGAAAAAATAAAAATGATCAGTATAAGAAGAGTGATTAACGGTTAAAAGAAGTTGATAGTGTATCGCACTATGCATGAGAAAATAAATATTGTGCGACACGATTATTATGTCCCGGTGCAACGCACGGGCAGTTACCTAGTAGAGATAGAGATTAACTGGAGAATCCGAAAATCCCGTCAGGGAGCTTCGAGAATTTAGGAAGTTTGTTTTTACCCTTGAGCAGTACACTTCAGTCTTGATTAACACCGACAAGATGAACAGAACCTTATTTTACTGTTAACTGTTATTTTCATTTCATTTCTTGATAAATTTCTAAGTAATACCTTTTGTGTGAGTCACTCATGTTCATGGAACACGGACAATGATACGCTAGCTCGTGCCCATCGCGGATGACACAGTAGCCGGCAGTTCTTTCTTATCCTATGTGTACACATTGACTAATGATACAGTAGTCAACTTGTGTCCTTGATTTACATTTCCTTGGATTTGGATTGTGCTTCTGCTCGATAAATGTTTGTCTCCCAGTTTTTAAGCATCCACACGGCTTGTCGGAGCTATACAAATACTCCCTCCGTTCCTAAATATAAGTCTTTGTAGTTATTTCACGATGGACCACATACGGAGGTATATAGATGCATTTTGTGTGTAGATTCATTCATTTTGCTCCGTATGTGGTCCATAGTGAAATCTCTCCAAAGACTTATATTTAGGAACGGAGGGAGTACAATATAATGTTTTGCAAACAGTATAATAACATACACAATCGACGATGGAAAGAAGAAAAGGCATTGAGGACGAATCGTTTCACATAATTTACAACCAAAATGTTACATACACATATGTTGAGTCTTTCTTAACGGGGGCAAAAAAATTGTCTCATTCATTAATTAAGAAGGGAGTTCACAAGGTTAATGCTCGAAAAAGAAGGTGCATTACAACGACAGTTTGGAATACAACAAAGTTTTTATTCCCGCGCCATCAAATTACTCTGGACTTCTTTGACTCATAGGATAGGAATATCATAGGTATGAAAATCATAGAGAGTGAGATGACACGTATCTGAATTTCTATAGGAAAATAGATGTCATCTGATGTATAAGATGAGATTTTTTTTCAACTGAATCTAGACTAATATTTTTTTTCCTTCGAAATGTGAAGGATTGTTTCCTATCCTACATAGGAATAGGAAATCATCCCTACAAATCAAAGAGATTCAAGGGATATTTTCCTACATAATTCCTACCAAATTCCTGTAAACCAAAGGAAGACTCCAGTGTTTCACCCCGCGGTGACCCAAATCTTGGCCTCCTCATTGATGAGTTGCATAATATAATATGGCGGCGTCGATTTCTTCCAGAAAACTCATGTGTTTCTGTCCTTCCAGCATTTTAGAATTCCGGGAGAAAATGGAGAGCTTCACATTTGGTGAAATTATTTCATGAAGATATTTTCTCTCCAGTTCTCGAACTAGGGAACGGAATCTTATTAGCCATTTATCATCACGGCGAGCTATGTTAGGTCCATTAATCGTCAAAATCTCCAGGGCATGGGCACTTTCAACAACATGCACTAGAAATTCAAGTTGTGTTGTTGTTCCAGAAAATCCTGTAATATGCAGGTTCTTCAGATGATTATGTGGACACCTGGTAATGCTTTTAATAGGCTCTGAGACATGATGTGGGACACCAAAAACACGAAACTGCAAAAGTTTGAGGGAGAAAACATGGTAAGCATAGGCATAATTCATGGTTAACAAGTCAATCTATTTATAGCAAAGTGAAGGTCGTTGTAGGAGATAGGAGTACTATACTCACATTCATCCCTAACGTTTCAACGAAAGGAGCAGCCCTCAAAAGTGAGGCCAAAGACAGAATATTGTCAACTTCTTTGTCATCTAAAATCAACCACAAATCTAAACATTTTAAGTGGGAAAACTTGCAAGAGGTCTCCATCAACAAGGGCATCTGAAAAGTAGATAATATAAATGGTCATTGCGAGGGAGAGAAACCAGAAAAACCAACTTGCATATTAAAGTGAAGTGTGAGACAGCAAACCTTGAGTTCAAATGAAGCACGCAATGTCAGATCCTGAACACTTGGAAGCACTTTGGGAAGTATAGTCAAAGCATGTTCAAGAGTCACTGGGGTATAGAAATCAAGAAATGCGTGTATCAAGTTTGGAGCATCCCCAAGGTCAACAGGATACAGACGCCCATAGAAAATGAAAGTTTTGAGTTTTGCCGCATTGAGTACTATCTTTGTTATCCTGCAGTGCACAACACGGAAGTATAATAACTTTGACAATGGGCAAGCTACTGTCAGCTCATCATTCAGGTGGCATCTAAATATACTGAACCACTCAAGATTAATGCAATTTGACAGCATATCTTGAAGATCCTTCCGGCTGACACGTAACAAGTACAAGTCAAGTGTTCTCAGATTTGGAAAACCGCTGAATTGAGGGGGCAGTTCAAATGATGCAAAGCTAAGTTTTAGATGACGAAGCTGAAATATGCTTTTGTTGTCTAAAAGCTCGAGCGGAAATCTGTACTGATCAGTACGACCGAAGTAATCGGTTGGTGCTATATCAAGGGCAAGGCTCTTCGTCCGCGATGATACAACAAAAGCAACCCACGAATTGATATGATCTAGTATCCTGCAGTCAAACTCAAATTTGATCATGAGCTCTTCAACAACCATGCCCTGATGTTGTTGCATGACTGCATTCACAGTCTTAATGAATTTCTGAGTGTATTGTTGTTCGTAAAACACATTCTTGGACACTGTGAGAACATCAAATCTTAGTTTGGGGCATAACATCCACCTATCTTTCCATTTACTTGATAGAATGCCACTCCTTACAGCATCCTTTAGTGGCAACTTTGATAGAACCATAGATAGCATATCCTCAGGAAGGTCTGTAAACTGAACATTTGCTCTGGTTTTCTTAAAGACTTTTCCTTGGTAGGATTCATAGGAACCCATGTGTCTTTTTCTTGCGCATGTTAGATCGTTGTCCATTTTAATTCTACATGAAAATGAAGCCAGGGTAAGTACAATTATATCAAGCAAATGAACCTGGAAGGCCGAAATGCAAGTACACTGCACAACAAAAGGTTATCCCAGTTCATCACATTTATAGCTTCTACTATCCCTCATAAATTAGATAAGAAAAACCACTCAATAAAGTTGTTGTATTTTCCTTGATAAATAGCCAACTGTGCTTCTAGCAAAAACTGTAAAATGGAACCATAGATCAGTAAAATAAATAAGAACGGGTTTGTGTGGGCAAACATTTGATCTAGATCGTGTGCTCGTTGTGCACGACAAACCCGAAGTTCATTTGTGGAAGTTCGGTAAGGTTTAGATCATGATGGGATGACAAGAACATTGCCAATGGCAAAGAATTGAGAAGGGTGAACTCTGGAGGTCCCTTGTTTACAAATCCACCATACGTAGTTAAATAAATATATATCGTTGGAGAAACTCTAGGTTTTGTAAAAGCTAAATAAATCTAGATCCTCTGATCCAGCTTGGTGGTTGGTCAAGACTCGGGAGCAGAATCAGAAAAGGAAGGTGGGAGGAGAAGGCTGAATCATGGAGATCCCCTCTCGAGATCCGCCTTGTGAAGTTAAATAAATCTAGATCGTAAGAGCAAGTAGAGATCCCCTAATAAATCCAAATTCTCCGATCAAGATTTGAGGTCGGCCAGGACTCGGGAGATGAATCGGAAAAGGAGGTGAAAGGAGAAGGATGAACTGTGGAGATCCTATGTTCCCAATCCATCGTGTGCAGTTAAAAATCAAGATCATTAGATAAATTCTAGATTGTCTAAAAGTTAGGCCTTTAAAATAGCTCCTCCTATCACTCATAACTATATTAGAACAACCACTCCATAAAATTGCCTCATTTCCATTGCTAAAAAAATTTGAGCTAGCAAAAACTATAAAGCGCAACCATAAATCAGAAGGATAAATCAGGGCGTGGGGTTGAGTTTTTGTGTGTGCGAGAGGGTGCAGGGCGACAACAAAAAACTTACCAAAGGCGAAAGACTCTGGATGAGGTTGAGACAACAGCGAACGGCGGTAGAACGGGAACATCGATGAGCAGTGACACGCTTGAGTTTGGGGGTTAGGGTTGAGGAGGCGGCGGCGGCAGTGGCGGACCTAGGTCACGAAGGGGTATACTCGTACTATATATATAGAGAGAGGGAATTTGGGTCAGATCCAGATAGAGTGTCACTTTCTGCACAAAAAAATTATTGGAGGGGCCGGGACTCAAAGAAAAATCAAAAGAGGAAAGTGTGAGGAGGGTGAACCGTGGGGATCCCCTATGCCCAAATTTATCGTGTACAGTTAAATAAATCTAGACCGTTTGATTAACTCTAGCAGATTTCCCAAAATGTTAAGCCTTTATAGTGGGTTTAAAGGGTCTTCTAAAAAATAAAGGCTCCAATGCAAGGGTATAAAGTCAAATTATATGAACTACAGTCTTTATATTTCTTCTTCCATGTAGGGCCCACTTATCAGTGGGTTATCATTTCTTTTTTATCCTTGCCCATCTAGGCCATACCCAGGCCCGTCGATGGGGCAGGCCAAATTGGCCGACCGCCCAGGGCCCCCAAGTCGCTAGGTCGTCGTATTGGGGGTAGTCAGCCGAGGGAGGAGGCCAGCAAAGGAATATCCTATTTGCCGCTCGTTGTGTCAAACTGCCGGCGCTTCGCACAGGCGAGCGACCGAGCAATGACACAATGGGCCGGCCCGTTTAACCGTTCCAGCACTCCCGGTTTTGGGAACCTCTAGAGGTTCCCAGCTGGTTTTTTCCGGTTTTGGAAACCTTCTAGAAGGTTCCTGAACCGGTTTTTTTATTTTCCTTTCTTTTTCTATTTTCGTTTTTTTTCAAGTTTATGTTTTCTCTCTCAAAAAAAGTCCGCGCTATTACAAAAATGTTCAAAATTTTAAAAATGTTCGTTTTTTCAAATTTTGTTCATAAATTCAAAAACTGTATGCATTTATCAAAAAATGTTCGGAATTTTCAAAAAATATTTTGTGTTAACAAAATTGTTCAGAATGTTTTAGTTCAAAATTTTGACAACTTTTTAAAAATGTTCGCGATTTGAAAAAATGTTTCCGTTTCAAAAATTGTTTGTAATTTTCCAAAAATGTTCATGAATTTCCGAACATATTCGTTTTATATTTTCTTCACGTATTCAAAAAATGTTCAACTTTAAAATTCGTTTGGAATTTTTAAAATTGTTTTCTGTTTCTAACTTTGGTCTAAAAATGTTCTTGTTTCCTTTTTGGTTTCTCTTTTGGTTTCTTTTTTATTTTTCAATTTGTTTTGAAAAAAGTTCATGTTTCAAAAATTGTTCGTAACCTTGAAAAACTGTTCCCACTTTCAAAAAATCTTCATTTTTTTCAAAAGTGGCCGCATTTTCCAAAATTGTTCATAAATTCAATGAATATTCGCATTTTAAACAAAATGTTGTGGGATTTAAAAAATGTTCCTTTTTTAAAAAATGTTCGTATTTGCCTTTTTTTGGTTTTCTTTTCCATTTGGAATTTTCAATAAATGTGTTCACTAATTTGAAAAGAACTCATGTTTTTGACAATTTGTTCGCAAACTCAAAATATGTTCGAGGAATTTTAAAAAATGTTCTCATTTCTAAATTTTGTTTCATAAATTTGAAAATGTTCTGTAATTTCAAAAAAAGTTCCAGCCTTTTCAATTTTGTTCACATACTCCAAAAATGATCATGTTTTCTGAATTTTCTGAAAAAATGTGTTTTGAACAAATTATTCATACTTTCCAAAAAAATTCACGTTTAGAAAAAACTGTTCATGATTTCAAAAAAAAATGTCCCTGATTTTTCGAAAATGTCATAGTTTTTGGAAAATTCAAAAATGTGCACGTTTTCATTTTTTCAGGAATTTTGAAATTGTTCAGTTTCAAATTTTTGTTCACAATTTCAAAAAATGTTCGGTGGTTCAAAACATGTTCCTGTTTTAAATAAATTGTTCGCACATTTCAAAAAAAAATATACACATTTTCGTTTTTGAGTTTCAAAATTGTTCAGTTTCAAATTTTGTTCACAAATTTTAAAAAATGTCCGGTGGTACAAAACATGTTCCCGCTTTAAAAAATTGTTCGCAAATTAAAAAAATGTTTGGAAATTTCCTAAAAATGTTCCTATTTCCAAATTTTGTTCAAAAATTCAAAAATGTTCTGGTAATGTAAAAAATTATTCCCATTTTGCAAATTTGTTCGCTAATTCAAAACATATTTTCGTTTTCAAAATTCGTTCACATATTCAAAAAATGTTCATTTTTGAAAATTTGTTCACAAATTCAAATGTGTTCGCATGTTTAATTTTTGTTCGCAAATTCTAAAATATTTGGTATTATAAAAATGTTCTTGTTGTCCAAATTTGTTCACATATTCCAAAAAATCTACAGTTTTGAAAATTTGTTCACAAATTTTAAAAATGTTCTTGTTTTCGGAATTTTGTCACAAATTCAAAAAATGCTCGAGTTTTTTGAAAATAGTTTAGTTTTTAAAACATTATCACCTTTTCAGTTTTGTTACTTGTTTTGGAAAAGATGTTTTGCGTTTACGAAAAGTAGTTCATAATTTAGAAATTATTCTTGTATTCAGTTTTTTCCAACCTTGTTTTTAGTTTCTATTCAGTTCCCAAATAATGTCGCGTTTCAAAAAAAAAATCCTTTTTTACGCTTGAAATTTTAATAGAAGTTTTAATATGTAATTGTATGCAAGAAACCTGTGTTACTACACTGGCTATGGACTCGCTCAGGTTCTTTAATGCTGGCGCTGCATATTCTTCATATTAACTCGTATGTTGCAATGGCTAGCGTGCGGTGGTTATCTACAGCAGCTCACGGGTTCGATTCCTAGCTAGCGAACTTTTATTTTTCCGATTTTTCATTCTGCGGAGGTTAGCTTGTGGGCCGGCCCAGCCGAGTAGTCTCCTATGCGAAACTGTGACTACTTGCCGCAGTAAGCGGCGCATAGGAGTCCCCGCCAGCAAACGAGCACGTCGCGCCCGATCATGTGCAGCAGATCGTACAAGCCCATCCTTATCGTAGACGCCTCGCGAGCGATCATACAGCTAGGGCTTGTTCCGTCGGCTGATCGCTTGATCCGATCGCTCGCCTCCTGTTGGTTGTCCTCGCCGTCGTTGCCCTCCGGCCCTCTCCAGTCATCATTCTGTCTCCTCGCCATGGTATAGTTGACTAGTCCCCCAAGCCATGATCCCCACATGAGTGCTCAAGATCTGTTTGGTGTAGCCCGTTTTGCTTCAGAATTTACACAGTGGATTTCTGAGTTCTACTCTCTCCGTTCTAAAATAGATGACTCAACTTTGTAGGGAGTAGTAAAGAAGACCCAAACGAATCTGCATCTCTGATCCAAACAATCAAGAGACGCACTCCTGCTAACTATTATATATATGCTCTTTGTTTCTGAATATTTTTGCACAGAATGATCACATTGATTTATCTAATACACCGATAGTTGATAAATTTGAGCATTAGCCGTTCCTATATATTGATAAACGATAAATTTCTTTACACTTTGCAGTTGGAGATTTAGACTTCACATTGATTGATGCAGCTATTTTTGGAGATAATTGCTAATTCCAGTTTCAAGGTACGACAATTTTTTTTCTTATCTGGCTATAGGTGATAAACTTAGAACTTCAGTTATATGGGCACATCAAAATTTAGGACCCCATTTTGCATTTTGTCCCGGGCCCCCAAATTTCTAGAGACGGCATTGGCCATACCTCCCCATCATAGTCGCTCCTCTGCACGCAAACTGTCTCCGGCGGAAGCCCGATTGTCCGAGGCGGCGAGGTTGTTTTTTTAGAGAAGGAGGAGGACCCCTGGCCTCTGCATTTGGACGATGCATGCAACCACTTTATTAATTATTCACAGAAGACCTTATAAAGTCATACAACAGTAAGACTAAAGCCATCGTCTAGTTAACATCTGTCGCTACTCCTA